TGGCTGGCTGGCTGGCTGGCTGGCTGGCTGGCTGGCTGGCTGGCTGGCTGGATGGATGGATGGATGGATGGATGGATGGATGGTGCAAACGAAATCAAGGACCTTCCAAAGGAAGCCTTTGAACTTTTCTTTCGCATATCACCGGCACTATGACCATTCAGTCTGCCGTACACCGCCCAGCCTTACTTTCTCACGGCGGGGTCACCTGCCCAAAGAGAAAACAATAACACTATCAACATCTGTCAACATAGCACACCTTCGGCCCATCAACATATAAAGACATGGAGGCAAAACACATTCCCACCTGCAGCGGCTCCCCTGGAACCAAACACCTCGCTAGTCGCATGGCCGATCTAAGATCAACATGGGTGGTTGGCTTCCTTGGATTACAGCTTGGCTTTTGATCGGATTGACTTGACCCAACAGCAGCTACAACAGCTATGAGTCAACTGACTAGGACTGCCGGCAGGCCCATGCCAAACACTGGCTTTCCAGTGGAGCCACCAGAGAAGACTGCTACAGTGGCGAGAGGACACTTATGCTAATATATGTTAATCATGCTAATCCTCTGGAAACGTATGTATATGTGAAAACAGCAGCTCCAGCCGAAACGGACCGCAGCCAGTGCATGATAGGACGACCAGTACCACTCCAGAACTACTACTCGGCACACTGAAAGAATAAGAAAACGTCAGCCAACAGGTATAGGCATGGAGCCGACAAAACCCGACCAAACGCCACTTGTGGGCAGCACACAGCGCAAACGCACACAACTCAAAGACACATAAAGACACATAATACAAGTACGTGCCTATCCTGCTCTGGTCGAAAAAATCCGACCTTCATCATGGATACTGGGTTGTTCCACCTACCAAAGCTGCGCAGATCACTGACGTTTCACCGCAACCCTGGATAAGCACATCCAAACTGCACTTCAGCCAAACCAAATTTAGACCCCACCCCCAAAAAGAACCTCGCACACCTTTGTCGAAGAGAGCTGCCAAACTCGATGGCAGGGCCTTCCTCGATTTATTTCGTGAAGGGGCAACAACAAGGTCCTCGAAAAGCGACCAGCCGAGCCGAGCCGAGCCGGATTCGCCTGATCGGCATAGACCCACATCGCATCTGCATCTCCGTTCATCAGCGTCTCTAGAGCGTTCTGGTTGGCATTAGGGCCAGTCGCCGTCGGTTGAACCTGGGCAAACGAAGTCGAGCTCTCAGGTGATTCAAAGACCATGGTCTTTCAGCTGATCAGTCCATCTTCCATCATGTTATACTGGGGTGTCTGGATCGTGACGAATCGAAACCACCAGCATCCGGGCTCTGCACCTTCCCGCCGGTGCAGGGCCCGGGGGCACCACACCAGGAGCTGACGTCGATGTGTGTTGGGTGTGTTTTATTCCGCTGGAAAAAGGCACGGACGATCCACCCAAAATATCCAATTTTTGTTGGGGGGGGAGTTTGAGACATATATATAACCGGGGATGCGTGGATTTGCTGTGGTCTATGGGCTTTACATGGGCTTTACCTATAGGTATGGTCACCTATAGGAATAATGGACATCTTCATGGAGTCGAACCATCGATCACTTCAGGACAGGTCGATCTTTCAGCATCCCAGGAGAAGGACTTGGAACTACCAGTTGATGATCGCATCTCCCAGGAGTTCCATCCATGGAGCGGAATTCATGGACGGGCTTCGTTGGATTTTGGTCGGCCGTTTTTGGAAGCGAATTGAGCACAGCTGGTGTTTTCCAGAAAGCCAAAAGTTCCCTGTTCATGAAGACCGAACTCGCACAGAGGAGTTCCTGATGAAAAACCCTGCCCAAAGAAACGATGTATTACCCAGATGCTCTAAACAGCCCTTGGAGCCTTGGTCCCTCAAAACCCTAAGGAATTGAGACCCCAGACCCCTCCACATGAGACCCCCGACCCCTCCATGAGGACCCATGAGCGCACCGAACAACGGTCAAAACCGCCACGGACCGAACCAACGCGCCCGGCGCAGAAACCGGGCGGTCAGTGGAGGCTGACCCTGAAGAGTTCGGTGAAAAAGGGACCCCTCAAATCATCGAAAAAATACATTCCAAAAGCTCATTTATTGGTGAAATCTTTCGCGGATTGTGTGAAACTAGCTTGAAGAACTCCTGAAGTCACTGGAGAAGAACAACTACACTAGGCTTTCCAAACCATCGATCACGGATTCTTTTCACCACTGCGTTCCTCTCTGAACGGTCTCTGAAGGTGAAGGTGAACAACGAAAACCTGAACCCATCGTGAAAGACCGTGTCGGTGAGCTAGCTACGGCTAGCAAGGGAGATGAGAAGTGGCTTAAACCTGAAAACCTTGGAGAAACTGGTGTATCCATGTGTCTCCAATCTAGAGCAGTCCCAACGGGGTCTATTTTCCTTCTGGTGGAAACGGGGTGCAAACCAATTGGAGGTCTCCCGACCTCCCGACCACACACCGCGAGATGTTCGTTCACGTACCCAGAGGTTCTCGGCCAAGAATCAATCGTGAAGCCACTGAAGCGCGCCTTGGTGCACTTGTTCTCGACCAAGGCGAGTGTATCCTCAGCCGGCCCAACGAAGAGCCGGCCCGCATGCCGCAACGTTCCGCGCTCCCAAAGCGGCAAGCTGCAAGGTGCGCCGTGTGGTTCTATGCCGACCGATGACTTCAGCAAGGAACATGTTTGATGAATTGACAAAATCCCAGGGATACGAATCTCAAATGCTGCTTGCTTCCACAAATCCTTCTGCCCGACCCTGTTGGTGGATTACAACTTCTGGTCCGGCTTCTCATCATGTAATCCAATTCGCCATGAAACAAATGACCAGCTACCTGACCAGGACGAAACGCCCACAAACCCTCTAGGAGCACCCAGCAGAAACGCACCAAAAAGATCCAAAAAGATCCAAAAAGGGGGTCCTACCAGTTGATTCGAAAACAAGTGGAGGGAGGAATTGCTGAGCCGTTTTTGCCATGGAACTTCCCCACCGAAGGCTGCCCCCATGCTGCCCGGCTTCAGCTGTGGGTGCCCATCCGACCACGTCCACCACCTTCAGCCCATTGAGGTTGTGATTGCCGTCGAACCTCGGGGCGAAGGTGTTGCAGACCAGACGAGGTCGGCTTTGGGGGTGACAATTGGATCCTGAAAAATCACGGGGTGAGAAAATCATGCCCAAAAACACAGAATTGACATGATTCCCAATCCTCGAAGACGGCATGGGTCGGCATATTGGAATGTTTAATTGATTGATGTTATTTTGTTTCGCTGATGTGTTTATTGTTCATTTCCTCACTAATGTGTGTCAATTGGTTTTATAATGTTTTATAGCGTTGCCGTTGAGATCCTTGTTGGAACTCATCAAAAACTCATTCGAAGCATTGCTCCAAACAATTTTGCAAGGGGGTTGTACACGAGACCGGGCAGAAATGAATTGTATTCTATGTTTGTTGAGAGGGTGGGAAAAATGTGCAAGCTTGGAGTCTTGCAGCCCTCAGAAAATTGTTCGGCTTAGTCTTCTATTGTTCAGCTGTTGCTTCTTTACTACTACGACTACGACTACGACTACGACTACTTACTACTTACTACTTACAGTACTACTTACTACTTACTACTTACCTACTGCTTACTGCTTACTACTTACTACTTATATACTACTACTACTACTACTACTACTACTACTACTACTACTACTACTA